TGGCTAGAGCCTCGGTCTTGGCCTCCAGGTGGGCAGCTCCCTCCTGTCCCACGTTATATCTGTTTTGCAGATGATGAACTGAGCCAGCAAGTAAAGGCACAGGGGCCTGAAGCCAAGTGCATTTGGGTCTCAAACTGGTAGCTTAATCACCATCCCCAAACTGCCCCCTGTCCTGCCTATGGGTTCCAATAACTTCGACCACTATCACTGTGGCAGCTAACTACGTACCTGAGTGCAGGGTGGCAGCAAACAAGATGCAGAAAGACAGAAAAGACCCCTGCCCTTGTGGAGCCAGCATTTGGTGTGGGTGTGTGTGTGTGTGTGTGTGTGTGTGTGTGTGTGTGTGTGGTGGCAGCAAACAAGATGCAGAAAGACAGAAAAGACCCCTGCCCTTGTGGAGCCAGCATTTGGGGGTGGGTGGGTGTGTGTGTGTGTGTGTGTGTGTGTGTGTGTGTGTGTGTGTGTGTGTACGTACAACATGAATGTCAGTGACAGATGATGTTCAATAATGATAAATGCCGCTATGTAAAAAAGAAAACAAAGATGCATGAGGGGTGGGGGCCACCATCAGGACAGGCCTCTCTGAAGCTGAGGCTGCTGGGAGTGAGTAAGGGGGACAGTGGAAGGAGGTGAGGGCAGAGAAGTGATGGGGCAGACCGTGTGGGGCCTTGTGGCCGAGGTGAGGACCTGGGCTTTCCTAAGTGAGGTGGGAACCATGGAAGGTTCTGAGCAGGAGCAAGCCCCAATGCAGGTGCTCACAGGCGCCTTCTGGCAGCTGTGGGGGTACAGGGTAGGAGCCAAGAGACCAGGGAGAAGGTGACTGCAAAGGTCCAGGTGAGAGGTGATGCTGTTGGGATCAGATGGGGGCCAAGGAGGCGGGAAGCAGGTGGATTCTACATCTAAAGGCAAAATGGATGGGATCAGACCTGGATGTGTAAGAAAGGGGGGATTCAAGGATGACCCCCAGCACATGGAAGGATGGAGTTGTTCTGAAGCAAGACTGTGGCAGGATCATGGGGGTAGAAGAGGAGAATGGGAAAGGAGGATCAGGAGCTTGGTTTTGGACATGCTGAGTTGGAGATGCCCACGGGATCCCTTCCCCACTCCCCATGGAGGTAAGCAGCCTGCTGGGTATCCAGTTTTGTTTTTTTTTAAAAAAAAGATGACCGGTAAGGGGATCTTAACCCTTGACTTGGTGTTGTCAGCACCATGCTCAGCCAGTGAGCGAACCGGCCATCCCTGTAT